TGGCAACGACCGCAGCGCCCTCTACTAAGTATAAAATTAACGCGCAACGTTGAAGCAGTAGTCACTTCAGGTCTGCCTTTTGCCCCGTTCACGTGGTGTGCTAGAGGCTAAAACAAAATGGTAAGTGAAGAAGCTGCTAGTGTTCAACTGTTGGATACATCACACGATTCTTAAGTGACTGCAAACATTATGGTGAAGAGCCCGTGCCCCGTTTTGGATTGTATAGTGCCTAAGCTAGTGTTGACTGTGCCTACACGAAGTCCCATACACGAATCCTGAGCGCTAGTGAAACTTGGAGTCCTCCTGCGTGGATTTTCTTGTCCGCTGCGGCCTCTTGCCCCAGCCCTGCACTCCAGTGATGATAAGCATACTTAAGAATACTGCACTTGTGTGACTCGAGATGCAACGACACTTTAAGTTCGTTCATCCCATATTCAGCGCAGTGATTTTGACCCAAATGAGTGACTACAAGGATGGCGTTGTCTTGCTCCTTCGCCGAGTCCTTCACAGGAAGTGGACTTCTTACAAGACACAACTTAGAGATTGATCTTGTTGATGATAGACACATCAGAATCCTTCAGAAACTGTCGTCATTCGTAGAGACTTGATGAGCTTCCTCGGAACTTAGGCCGACGCTCTCGTGGGTAGTCAGTCACCTGCCTCACTCTTAACCAGCAGCTCCTCACCTATGAGCTCTAATCATGAATTTCCTTTGAAAAAAAATATTAACTTCGAAAACTAGCTCTACCACTAAATTGCAAGTCATTTGCTACTAGTTACCAAATAGCTCTATCATATCATTATAAGCTTTGTTTTCTTTTTTTTTTCTTAACTTAATTCATTTAATAGAATCGCCTTATCTCTGCTTTGTTTTCTGTTTCCTGTGTTTTTCTATTTCCTTTTGATTTTTTTTCTTACAATTTTTTTCTCTTTCCTTCCCCAGGCCGCGGATCTCAGTGCTCGTGATGTTGAGAGTAAGTAGTGAAGAAGAACAAGATTACAACTCACAACTCACAACCATAACCCAAAGTCACCATCACCCTTTTTAGAGAATTCACTCAGTCACCACAGATCAACCACAGACACCAATGGCTAAAATACATATATCCTATTTTGATGATATTAACAACAGCTGTTATGGCAAATGTAAATCTGAGACTAAGACATCCACATTAAAACCGTTGCCATTTGTTAAAAGTAAAATCAGCATTTTAAACGTTCCACACAGTACCCTCACTACTACACTTAGTAAAAGCGTACATCACTCTCATTACCACTCGCTACACCATACAGTTCACCATCCTCTGAATTAACAATTTTAGCAAAACATATAACATATATATAAAATATCTAAAAAACTTCTACGTAAAGATAACCCCAAAAACGACACATTTTTTTTTAAACTGTTAGTACTACTACGGTTACAATTAGCCCCGCCCCTTCCCTACAACAAGGCGGGTCCTGGACTATAGCCATAACTCCCTCCCCGCCCCCCCCACACCCCCCTACAACACACATTTAAGTCTCCCCCCACAACCCCCTCACAAGTCCCCCCCTCCCCTCCCTCCCGCCTTGTACTCCAAATACAACCAAATTCATTCTATAAACTGGTTCATTCATAACACACCTGGCTGATACGATATCCAAGTTCTCACATATTCATCTCTACACATATTTTTTCCCCTTAATGGTTCGTTATCCTTCTTGAGTATATATAAAAAAATCAAATTAGAATTCACTTTTTTTTTCAATGACTCACACTTAAAATATTCGGCCTTGGGAATGTAAAGACAAAAATGCAAAGAAAACAACAAAAACAATTTTAAAAAAAGAAGAAATTGTCGCTTAAGTTGCGTTAGACATGACAAGACACAAGGACGCTCCCCCCTTTTCACCCCCCATCGCTCGTGCCCCCCCCCCCCCATTGCCCTCACTCGCACGCGCGCCGGCAGGTACTAAAAATACCCATCGGAGCGAGGTGGCACCGCGCGCCTCCCGGCTCCCCCCAACCTGCCTCGGGGCATTGGCATGACTCAGGTGCCAAGCTCGTGGAATGGCACCGTGGCACATGGCATTCCGAGACCGATAATCATCGTCTTGTTCTACTTTTCTTTATTTTGCTGAATGTTTAGTTCCAGGCTGAAATGTCTTTCATTCTCAAGCACTTGGAGATAAGACAGAGAGATTTTCCAGTGAAAAGGTATTCGATCTTGCCCTTAGTCATTTGCATATGCTCCTGATTGATTTTATGTATCAAAATTACTAAAAGAAAGCCATATAAACTTTTTTGAGATTGTCGTGGCTGATAATTTTTCTTTTTCTTTTATTTCTTTCAATCAACAATATCATTTGGATTTTCTTTTGCTGACGCCTCAAACATCAACTAAATTTACCGTAACGACCACTTAGAGATCCGATATCAGATAACTACCTAACAACCACGCCTTATCTCATGCCATAGTTAGAACACGTAACAACCATTCAGGCCGAGCCGTAGAGGTAAAAACAATAGCCATATTTAGTAACTGGCAACCTAGAAGGAGAGTAAGGAAACGTGGCCCTTATAAGGCGTGGCACAACATGGCACTATTCCCGGCGTTACCTGATAGGAGGGGGAGCTTCTGTGCCAAGGATGCCAGAATGCGGGGGTGCGGCCGGGAAGCGGAGAGGCCGGTGCCAAAAATGCTGAACTCCGAGAAAAAAAAAATCATTCCATGCTGTTTTAAATTTTATCTCGTGAAGATATGCACTATCGGTGACTTATCTTTCTTTCTTTTTTTTTTTACTTAAGCGATTCTTTTTAGTTCAATTATCAGAAAACAGATGGCGCTGATGACTTTGGGTTTTCTACACGTTTGAAAAGAAATAAAAAGTCCTGCAACGGCGGTTGTTAAGGCTGGCTACATATACCGTAGACTTTACCTTCCCGAGGCCGACTTTAAAGAATTTACGCTTTTTAGAGCCGTTTGCTTCATTTCAAAATGTCAGTTTTAAAAGCAAACTACAAGGAAATCTTAATAGAATACATACATGCATATATACATGCATACATACATATGTATACATATGTATACATATATATACATATGCAAATACTTGCATACATACATACATATATATATATATATATATATATATATATATATATATATATATATATATATATATATATATATGTATGTATATATGTGTGTATATATATACATATATGCGTGTCTGTACGTATATGTGTCAGTACGAATGTATATATGTACATTTTCACACTGAAATGTTTAATAGTCAGAATTAACGTATATTTTTCTTCTCTCTCCCCTTTTCTCTCTTCTTCGTCCTCTCCCCTGCTCTCTCAATTGCAACATTCTCTCTCTTTACCTATATTTTCCTGTCTTCTCTCTAATCTCTCCTTATCTCTTCTCTTTTTCTCTCTTTCTACCCATTTTCTCTCTCTCCCCTTCTTCCACATCTCTCCTCTCTCAATCCACTACCCCCTATCGTCGTTTCTCTCTCTCTCTTACGCTCCTTCTCTCCCCGTTTTATCTCTGTTTCTCTCTTCCTCTCTGTCTGTCATCTCCTTTCCTCTCCCCTTTTCTTTTCTCCCTCCCCTCCTCTCCCCTTTTCTTCTCTTTCTCCCTTTCTCTCCTCCCTCTTTCCCTGTTCCCCTTATCTCCCCTTTTCCCCCTCTCCCCCTCTCCCTGTTCCCCTTATCTCCCCCTTTCCTCCTCTCCCCTCTTCTCTCCTCGTCTCCCCCTTTCCCTCCGCTCGCCCAGGGGTGAAATTCGCCTTCTCCATCTATGACTTCGAGGGTAATGGCACCATGGATGCCTACTACATTGGCGACTGCCTGCGTGCCCTTAACCTGAACCCGACCCTGGCCGTGATCGAGAAGGTCGGTGGCAAGGAGAAGAGGAAGGAGAAGATGATTAAGCTCGACGAATTCATGCCCATCTTCGCCCAGGTCAAGAAGGACAAGGATGCCGGCTCCTTCGAAGATTTCATGGAAGTCCTGAAGCTTTACGACAAAGCTGAGAACGGCACCATGATGTATGCTGAGCTTGAGCACATCCTTCTGTCCCTTGGTAAGATTTCTTCGTAAAGTCTTTCTTGTTATCGTGTTGGTTGTCGTAGTAATGTGTGTGTGTATATATATTTTTTCAATATTGATATTTCGGTTGGTGTTTTCATTACAAGATCAGCTTTAATGACTATATCAGAACCAATGCTACTAGATTATCTGTTTTTATTATTGTAAAATCGTTCTTATTATCATCATCAGTAACACATACCGAACAGCCTAGCACCCGTCAGACTGCCATTCGTCACTTAGTACCATCACCCTTGAAACTCGCCCTCGTGGCACTCACCCTTGACACTCACTCTCGACACTCACTCGTGGCATTCACGCTTGACACTCGCCCTCGACACTCGCCCTCGGCACTCACTCTTTTTCCTTGCGTCCTCCTTAAAGGTGAGCGTCTTGAGAAGTCTGAGTTGGAGCCCGTCCTTAAGGAGTGCTGCCCCGAGGAAGACGAAGAAGGCTGCATTCCCTACGAACGTAAGTTTCTTTTTCATTTTTTTTTCCTTCATCGCCCCCTTTCTCTTTTTTCTGCATTCTTCAGAATAAAAAAAGAAATGAGTTGTGGAAATGTCTGTTTCCATTTTGTCACCCCCCTCCCCCCCATTCCCCTCTTTTTTGTGATTTTTTTCCCCTCCATCTCTGCTCTTTATGGAACGTGACCTCCCCCCCACACCCACCCCCACCCCACCGCCTTACGGTAAATGCTTTCCCCCTCCCCCCTCCCCTCTACCACATCAACATCGTAGAGGGGAAATTCAAGTCTAAATACCCCATATTATCCGGAATGATAAAGAACTTTTGGATTGATTGCTTCCTGCCTCCCCCCTCCCCCCCGCCTTCTTTTCCCTTGAAGTCTGTGAAGGCTCTCTACGAAAAAGTTCATTCTTTTTCAAAGTCTCTAAATTTCCATGCGAGACCGAATTCTACATTTAATTTTATTTTTCTATCTCTATCGAAAAAGTATATTGTCTTTTCTGAACTATGCTCATTACGTTATTTTTATATGATATGATATTTCTTATCCATATGTACGTAGATATTAAGGATAACTAAGATTATAAAATCTCATGTGAGATGCTAAGTCGTCTTATAGATGAAGTGGCTTCAGAGCTTCTTTAAGAACACCTGATTCTCTTAAAATAAGATGTTTACCAAGGCTTCCTGAAGCTTTATCTTCCATGTACTCATTGTTCCAGGATTATTGTCACAATCAAATGTTTCACTTCGTTTCCGCTCTGAGCTAATTATATGTTACTTTATAACAATACGAGCTACTGATTCTTTATTGAAGCATCTATTTAAATTTTTCTTGACTAAAAAAAAAATATATACTTATATATGTAATCATAACTAGTATATGTTTCAATGTTGATGTTCTGTTAGTAGACATAGACCGCTATGCATATCTTTCTGCTAGAATAATTTCTTACACTTTAGAAAAAAAACACCAACATCCTCACCCTGAGGAATACCACATTATCTCTCCTGGAGCTAATCTTACGCAGTCGCTTATATCACACGCAGACAATCAGACAATCAGACTGTCACAGCATACTAGTGGCGAGAGGGTGGCAGCCTTCCTCGTGGACTGGTGCATGTTTCCCATTTTCTCTTCCTGCTGATAACTCCTTCCCATTTTCTGCCAGTCGTGATTCCTCGTTTTCTGTTTGTGTTGTCCCTGCATTAACCTTTCCGTCATGAATTTTTCTTACAGCTTTCCTTGTGAAGCTCTGCAAAGACATCAAGTAAAAAAAAGGACTGATATTCAAGCGTAAGTAAATTAAAAAATATACAATTTTCAAAAAAACAAGCAAAAAGGATACGGCACGGGAAGAGCTAGTGCACGTTACAATTCCTTTTTTTGCTCTCAGTTGAACATTATCCTGACGTGAATTCAACTGTCAGGACTTGGATGGAAATGGAGAATTGCAATTGGTCTATTCTCGGTGCAACCTTACCGCATGTACCGAGCACCCCCTTTGCAATTCTGGAACGGGTTGCACTGAGTCTGACCTTTGCAATTTTTTTCGCCATTCCATCGACCTTTTATTCCTTCGCCCTCCGATGATCAAGGACTTGTCTGACCTCCTTTGAGAATCAGAGTTACATCCCCCACCATCCCTCAGTAAAAAAAAAAAAAATCAGAAACGATTTTTTTTTATCTACCTTCCTCCCTTTTTTTTGAGGGGTATGTATGTGCGAAAAGTACATGATATATATACCTCCACTACTGTATAGATTTCCCGTAGATCCTTGAGACTTCCCTAAAATCCCTTGGGAAAAAATTAGACTTCCCAGTAGATATTTTTTTTTGTAAGTATTCATGGCAGTGGATTTGTTTTATCAAACATACGACGTGACGAAAGTTCCCTCTGTAAAGCGAACGTGTTGAGGCTTTAAAAAAAAAGAAAAGGAAAATAAATTCCCGTTTTCTGTGGTTCCCTCGTCCGGCAATGATGTAACGATGGCCGGGAAAATGTGGTGATCCATAAATGTTTTATCCCATTTCTCTCTTTTATAATTAATCTGTATTGTCCACCCTTCTCTCTACGTTTATATACGAGTGTGTATTTATAGACGGAGAGAAGGTGGTCAGCTTCGGCTAGACTGTAAGAAAAAAGTAATACATTTTCTTACGGGTTTTAACCGTGATGTGTTTATCACAAATTTTCTACAACCAATATTATTTTTGCAGCGTTCCTTAAGAGACTTTTGGCCTTCAAAATCTAGAGGAAGCGTTTAGTAAGTTTTGTGAACGAAGAAACACTTACACGTTTATTTACATAGCAAGATTTAACAGGTAGTAATTTACGTCTCTTACAATTTAGTCATCAAAAAAAGCAATCGTGTTTCATTTAATTGTTTTAATCTCTCTTAATTGACTTCTTACTTAATTTTCTCCGTTTTATTTGTCTTTATTTCGTCAGATTTAATTTCTACTTATAGTCGATTTCTCCGCATGTTGCCAATTCGTTCAATTTTTATTTTGTCGTCTTAATTTTACGTCCAATTTTCGTTTTTGTTTTTTATTCTATTTCTTTCTTTACTGTGTCATAGAAATTTAGCTAGAAAACAAATGCCCGTTATTCCGTTATTGTCGTTTTCTTCTCTCTTGAATCTATTTTCTCACCATATATATATTTCTAATATCTCTTTCTCTCTTTCGTTTTCCTTCTTTTCCTCTCCGTTATCGGGTATATTTTCGTTTTATTTACGTTCTTTATTTCACTTTATCTTACCATTACAGTCTCTTATTCCATTTGGCCTAATTTTTTTTTTATTAAACGCGCTTTCGATATCGTTTGATAACCCACCAAAGAATATATAAGGTTAGTTAGAAAATAAAGATTAACCGCTGCCTCATGATAAGAATAGTTATTTAGTAGTTAGTGCATGATTAGTCAACCGTAGTTAGTTAATCACCC